TGCCTAATAGTCCTGTTTTGCTTTGAGTTCAATCTTACCTTACGATGATTTCAGGGCTCAACGTTCCTGTGGCCTGGTCCTCGACCAGGCCTCAAGCTCACAATTCTTGCATGCAAAGTGGGTGAGCATATCATCTGCTACACAACTGTGAACTGTTTGTAGCTTGTTTCAGCTCTTCTGTAGTATTGGGCAATCTTCTTCAGTCCTTACCCATTTTGTTATTCTGAATTGCCTCCCAATATTGTCATGCAAGATCATACCTTCTTGGGTGGGTCAAATACATTTACTCCACCAATAACAAGTGGAGGTTCAAAGACCACACCCTGTGGTACTCCACTTGACAATCCCCTTCCACTCTGCCATCTCACACCTCACTGTGACACACCATTTCCTGTTTGGCATACACTTTTTCTTGCTCATCTATTAATGAGTTTTGGGGTTAGACATTGTACGGATCATTTGAGCCCTGCTATCTGGCCTTTTGTACCTGGTGCATTTTTTATTTCTTAACATTTCAAGTTTTGTATGAGTTCTTGAATTGTGGATGAATGACTTCCATGACCTCCTTTCAGTGCATGGTTGATCGCTGATAAAAGGTACGAGTACTTTCTTGAATTTCTATGACGTTTGTCTCTAGTTTCCACTGATATCCTTCTTTTTTACTTTACAGAAGCTGTCCTTGCCCAACAACATGTTTCTCCATTTCATTCATCTGTTTTTTATGGAAGGCAGTACTAAAAGCTTTTTGATAGTTAAGAAGTAATCCATCATTTGCTCTCTTGTCTTACCTGCGTACTCTCATAAAACCAAATCAAATACTATTTAGTCTCTAAATCCATGCCAACTCTGTTATAAGTTTTTCGTCTTCAGATGTTTCACAATTCATTTCAGATTATTTTTTCCCCTATTTTGCAGAGGACGAGTGTCAGTGGCACTAGTTTCTTGTTCAATGTTCCCTGTCTTCTTTCTTGATTATTGACAGCACATTTGCAGCCTTGAAGGGGCTCTTCCATTAGAAATGTTGCATTATAGATGCTGTTTAATTGTTTACACAGTTGTTGTACTGTTCTACTGTTGTAGCCCCTCTCTGCATATCTGAGCAATGTAACCATTACATTTCAGGTGAAGCTTCCACTAGAATTGCCTGATTAAAATCCCTAACATTTCTGAATTCTCCAATCCTGTTGTCTCATTGTCTTCTGAACCTTCTATTCAATATGTTTCCTTTCTGCAGCTCGACTATTTATCAAAACTCTGACACAGTGGTCAATGGCTCCTAACAGCACCTCACAATTAATCTACTCTGAAATTTTGACCCCACTTTAGGTAAACATTGGATAGCTAGCAATGACAATATGTCCTCTCCCTTTACCCCGTTGGCTATGTTGTGCTACTTTAGTAAGTATGCATCAAGCGTCCATCAATTTTGCTCTTGCATCTCCACTGTGGGGATCTTTCATTGTACAGTCAATATACATGCTTAAGAACTCTTTCCACTTGCCACTAATGCTGCCGCCTCTACAACCTTCAGATTGTTTCCATTGTTCACCGTGCTCTTCCCTGGGTTTCCTGCTATTTATTGGGGAATTGTATAAGACTACTGCCACTAATCTCTTGTCCTCAATTGTTTCCAAGCCTATGCTGTAGCCTTATGGGTTGGTCAACTCTGCAATGAGGAATTAACACAAAACACCAGTGCATATTTCATGATAGTACTACTCCATTTATTGCTTTAATTCCCTGATCCCTGATAAGCCCCTTGCTTCTGTTATTTCTATAGGTTTTGTTTATTATTGACATAGACATGCAGCTGCAGTTCCCATATTCTCTCTTGGAGATGCTCGTGTGTTATGAACTATATGTTCCTAACTGTGTATACTGTACTTGCAAGTAAGGAGTATTAGCAATTGGGGCTTGCCTCTTCCTTTTGAGTATTTGGTGCAACCTGCTTTCAATTCCTGTGACTGTAAATACTTTTAAAGCTGTGAACTGAATTGGTTTCAACTACCTCTTCTTGCAGTTTACTACTCATACTGAAGTTATACTTCCTTATATTCATAAGATTCATTTGTGTTTGTATCTTGTATGTCAAAGGCCTTCTGGCAAAGATGAAGCAGTCCACCTATGTCTTTGTTTCCAGTCAATTTTTGGTCGCTTGCAATTTAATGAAGTCTCTCTCTAAAGCCACAATTTTCCTTCTGAACACTGTATATTGTTTTCGGCTACAATTTGTTTTCTTCAAATGTTCCAAAATTCTTTGTTTAATTATTTTCTCTAGTATCATGCATAAATGACTGTCATGTTTGTAATTTAGCACTTCTTATCTGTTCTCCTTGAAAACTGGCACTATGTTTGCTGTTTTCCACATTTTTGAAAGCTCTTCCCTTTTTAAGGTGTTGTATACGCTGGCCAGTGGCTTGCACAGAACTCCTGAGGCTGGCTTTAGTAGAGGTAAATCTGTTTTTTTCTGTACTCTGGTTGCTGTACTTTTTGCATGCCTTCATGTAATTGTTCTTAGATTTCTGGTACTTATTGATGAATTAGGATATATTTATCATTTGTCTGCATATTTTTTCCATGGAATAAATCCTTGTGTTATCTTTCTGAATCACTATGTGAGGTGCTCCATCATCTCAACTATCAACCATCATTCTAGCTTATTAACCCCACTCAATTTCTTCCACAAAGCTCCTTAATACTGTGCAATCACACCTTCAACATTCCAGTTTTTTCTTATGACCAAGCTTTTTTCAGTTTTTCCTTGAGCTTCATTGCATAATAAATAATTAATTAGTACTATGGCTGGGTTAAAGATGTGGTATGGTTACCTCTTACCTACCTAGTTTTGTCCCTGATGACCTAGTGGGATGATGTCTGACTTCTGCTTAAAAAAGCCAGGCTACAGAATAATTCTCTCTGTCTCTATAACTTGTCTCACATTACTTTAATTATGCCTCATAATATACTATTGTTCTTGCACAACATTTACAACATTGTGGATAACATGCATTTTGACTTGCACTACACTGATTGTCTTATTTGAATAATGCCCACCTTCTCTTGAACAGATTATTTTGTAGTAATCAGATTAGTGAATGAATGTTGTTTGTATCTTAAAGAATAATCTTCTTTTATCTTTATCATGTGTAGTGTGGCAAATTTCCAGGTTAATCCCTGTGTGCTGTGTAGTGTGGCAAATGTCTGGTTAATATTTGTGCAATGTGCAGGAGTAAAAAGTTTGGTCCCAGTTAATCCCCATGGTAATTTAAAACAAAATATTAATGTACAAATATTGAAGAATAAGCCAAATGTTACTTGAATGTTACTGACAAATCCACCAAGCAGTGAGAACAAACATCAATTTAATTGAAAGCTCCAAATCTGCCTTACTACATCAAATATAAAATGAAGACACATTGCCTTATTCATATACATAAAATTTTGCATTCTTTATAAGTTTACACATCATGAAAATGCATGCCTATTGAAACACATGAAAATGGAGATGGCATCCAGCAGAAAAAACAACTAAAGAAATTGTAGGACACACCAAGTCAGATAGTATTTTTTAGTAAAGTTTCATAGGAAATATAGATACTAGTTTAAAAGATGCAGCCTCCACCTCAGTTAGATAAAGAAGTTTAAAAGTTCCAATTTACAGACCAAACCCTACACTCGGTTATATATATCTGAATGTCAGTGAAAAGGAAAGAAGAAGAACAGAAGGCCTCTCTTTATTTATCAGAAATACTTACATATTTAAATATATATATATAATGCATCAACTTAAAATAGATACATAAACACTTTTAAGTTGTAACTTGGCAACCAAACAGTATCAAAAACAGCTGTAATTCATCTAACAGTAGAGTACAGTACTACACTCACAGCAGGATCTCATAAGTTAGCCTTGAATAGTTACTAAAAAGTCACACATGCATAATACAAAGCCTCCTTCAGCAGCACCTCTGGAGTGACAACACTCACAGGCACCTCTGGAGTGACAACACTCACAGGCACCTCTGGAGTGACAACACTCACAGGCACCTCTGGGGTGACAACACTCACAGGCACCTCTGGGGTGACAACACTCACAGGCACCTCTGGGGTGACAACACTCACAGGCACCTCTGGGGTGACAACATTCACAGGCACCTCTGGGGTGGTGACACCCACAGGCACCTCTGGGGTGACAACACCCACAGGCACCTCTGGGGTGACAACACCCACAGGCAATGTAAAAGTAAAATGACAGTGCTGTAACTTTCTACAATATGAAAAGTCTTGAAAGGTTTAAGATGAATCTCAGACAAGCAGAATAAAAATAGAGAAGCCAAATATACAAGAGAACAAGCATCATTTAAACTATCATGATTAAAATATAAAAATGATCTCGGGGAGTAAAATAAAAAATACATACTGGCCAAAATGCCTTCAAAAGAAGGTGAGAAAATAGCGCAACTATGAGAGTAAAACATGCATGTAGTATACCGTATTCACTTAAAAAACAAATTCAAATTACTGTAGCCTTATAGAAATGAGAAGAAAGTTATTGTGCAACTATAAAATGAATTACATTAAAGATTGCTAGATGTATGGAACAATCTCAAGTTAAATAGTCATTCTCCACTACTACAAATATTAAGCTGAAGATGATTAAATTTCTGCTTACATATGACTCAATACTCATGTTACATTAAAAAAGTAACAACAAATATTCATTTGATAAAACTTTGACAAACATAAATTCATAGAAAATGGGTAACTATTTCATTTATATTCAAGCAAATAAAATACGTAATGAAAATAAAAAATCTGAAATACTTTACATAACACAGTACCAGTTATGAATATCACAATCATACATTTCAAGATACGACTAAGAGCTCTTTCACAATACTGAATGCACTATTATGTGACAAATTAGAATGTGCAGGCCTATTTCAGCAGTATTTGCTGCCTTCTTCTTTGCCTTGTAAGTGGAGGAGAAGCAGCAGTACCTGTGGAGTGGTTGCGATCATCGTAGTCATCATCAGGAATGTGCGGTAAAGCCTTAACATTTCGATTCATGTCCTCATCGGCTAGTTCACCAGAGCTGTAACTACGACGCAGCTGATTCACAATACCGCCACCTCCCTACAGTAGAGAAGTAAATTACACTTATTACTGCACATTGATCAAAATATGTGAACAAAATTAACTCTTTTTATAAATCATATTTGAAGCTGTCACATGACAAACTACAGTACTGTATAGTGAACTTAATTAGTAATTGCAAAATATACTAAAATTATGAGAGAGAGAAACTGACGGAGGGGGAGAGAGAATATAAAAGCTTATAAAACAATTCTAATACAATCATTGACCATAACGATGATAACAAAAAATGATGTTTTCTAGAAAGAAAATCTTACTCTAAAGTGCAACAACAAATATCTAGTCAAAAAGCTCTTTTCTGTCATTACTCAACCATTTAGAAAACATGAAAGCAAGAGAAGATCATAAACAAGTCAGAAAGCAAAAAAAAAAAATTCTGTAAATACAAAAGATAAAAGTTGCAAAATATATGCTAATCTAATCGTAAGTGGAAAGTTTCGGATTCAATAGCCATTAGAAGTATACAATAGCTTAATGCTTTATCTTCATCTTAGACATCATGTTCCTTCTAGGAACTCCCCAAGAAGAAGTGACAATAACAGCAAAGCCTCCACACATTCAAAGAACCTTTCTTACATGTATAATATTTAATTGTCTTTACCTTACTTCACTTTGGTACCAGCTTGTCCTCCTAAGGTTTCCCAATGTCAAGAAAATTATAAAAATTAAATTGTCCTCTGCTAACCTACCAGAGGACCCAAAACAGAAAACGGGACAGTATGTCATTTTCACAAGTTGCTTCCATTTTCTAGTACGACAATTTTTGGCCTTATGTAATGCATACGATCGAAATGCGACATTCTTTGTAAGAGGACAGGTTGATGGTACAGTCTTACAATATTATTATTCTAGAGCCTCAACATTGGTTTTGTTTCCAATATTTCACTGCCAGGCCAGATCTGGGACTGCGAAAGTGTGTGTTGTGTAACCCTTTCTTCACACTTGCTCATGCATGCTAATATATTATGTTCTACCTAAGGATTCCTAACCCTTCCTAGAAATGGAGGGGGGGGAGTCATAACCCTTCCTAGGGGAGAGGGACTTCATAACTCTTCCTGGGGGTTCCCTAACCATTCCTGGCAATTTCTACCCCTTCCTAGGGATTCATACAGCTTCCTACAGATTCAGTTACCATCTCTTACCAATGCTCTTTCTTATGCCTCCCTACATTATTTCAACCACAACATTAATAACTGTGCGTGATATATAAAATTATTATTTGTCTAGTGCTGTACTCGGAATGACATTCTTGGCTCTTAGTAATTTCATATTTCATTATTCAAGCAGTTGCCAATACTGTATATTTTATATTATATATATATATATATATATATATATATATATATATATATATATATATATATATATATATATATATATATATATATATATTAGTATATTTTGGTAGCAGTCTTTCCTGTAGACATATGTTACTAAATATGACCGAAAAAGTAAGATTAATAATTCTAACACGAATTTTCTCGATCTTTCTTATGTTACTTTTCACTATTGATGGTAATTGAAAAATCAATTCTCCAAAATTCATTTTTATTTCTTTTATCTAGTCTGACGCGACACTTGAGCGCATTTCGTAAAACTTATTACATTTTCAAAGACTTTAGTTTACACACACACAACTGTAACTGAATAGAGCTTAAACATCTTTGATTTTTTTTTTTATACCTGCATTTGGGTGACGTGATATGTTACAACAGTTTTGGATGAGGTGAAAACAAACTTTCAACACAAGACAGAACACGAAACAATGGGTATTGAATGGAAGTAATTGCAGAGGGCCTATTGGCCCATATTTCTTGATGCTTCTATATTGGAGCGGAGTCTTGAAGTGGGTAGAATATAGTTGTGCATTAATTGGCTGTTGATTGCTGGTGTTGACTTCTTGATGTGTAGTGCCTCGCAGATGTCAAGCCGCCTGCTATCGCTGTATCTATCGATGATTTCTGTGTTGTTTGCCAAGATTTCTCTGGTGATAGTTTGGTTGTGGGAAGAGATTATATGTTCCTTAATGGAGCCCTGTTGCTTATGCATCGTTAAACGTCTGGAAAGAGATGTTGTTGTCTTGCCTATATACTGAGTTTTACTGAGGGTCAGAGAGTATGAGGTTCATTTTCGCCAGATATTCGTCTTTTTTAAGAATGACGTATATTGGCGACTTGTCACCTCTCCTGACAACTACCTCCTTGTTCTCACGAAGGCTCTTAGCTGCCGCTTTGAGCTCAGGGGACAGTATGGTGCTTCTGTAGTTGCCTCGATTCTTTCCTCCTTCCGCAATAAGTTCTGCATGTAAGGTGTCTTTGGTGGTGACCTTCTTTTGTGTCTCGA